AAGGGAGGGCCTATCTGGACGGGCTGAACACGTAACAAACTAATAGTCTTATTGCTGGAAGATTTGGCCAAAGCCCGCCAGATTCTGCGTGTACTTTTTATATTATTATTTTTCGTAAAAAAAATTTACAAATCTAGCACACTATTATTAATTATTTAAATATTTCCCACTAAACTTTCCTTTTTATAAAAATTGCACGTTTGGCCTATTTGTTTAGGTGATCTTAAAATTTTCAGTGTTATATGTGTAAATATGAAAGTTTATGTGTTAGATGTGTAAATAGAGTAAAATTGTGTGCTGTGTCCGCATTTTATTAGTTTAAAGGGGCAAATTTCGAGGGAATAGATGAGGATTCACAATCCAATGCATAGCCAGCCGATAAGGATGGATGAAAACTTAATATTAATTACATTTTTAATATGACATTAAAAAATGAAATTATATAAAAAAAATATATTAAAGTTTATAATATTGGTTTAGTTTGTTAAGAAAGGAAATTTTAAACTGTTGGATGTAATTAAAAACCATTTTACAATACATCACCTCTGAACTGTAATATAAATTTTAAATTTATCATAATTTTATGCTTTCAGTTTTGATAAATATTTATAATTGTTTAATTTAAACACTGTAAATTCAACCAAGCAAATAACACTATATAACCGGACAGAAGTGAGAGAGGAGGAACCTTGCCACCAAAGCCGGAGACAAGAGAGGAGAAGGGAGCTAGGACAGAGATGCAAGAGAAGAACATGAGAAAACTGCGGGGTTGTCGCAAAGAATATGCTGACCGAGGGTTTGAACCAGCGGCCTATATTTAGATAAGATTATGGCGAAACTCCGCCTTACCACGCTATCCATACAAACCCTTAAGCCTTTTCTAAAATGAATTTTCTCAACCTGATGTGACAAGCTCAAGTTGAATTCTTAATATCATGTAATTTCTTTTCAAGCTTGAATAGATGATGTATAAACCCCTATATATATATATATATATATAGCTTAAGAATAAATTCTTATATTTATTGGCTTTTTATTAGTGAAATATACATTTGTCTTTATAATTATAAGGGGCATTTACGTACATGCCACACAATTACTGATTCTTTGACTTTAAAAAGTAAAATACACATTTTCATGCATAAATATGATGACATATATATGAGACGTTAGATATGTAAATACATAGAAATTGAGTTGTATTTATGTAAATTTTCTTAAGTGCAAATATCAAACAATACTTAAATACATAAAAATTGTGTGGTATGTATTATGAACTTTCCTTAACACTCTAAATAATTCATGAGCCCAATTTTATTAGTTAATAATTTAAATTTTAATTAACTTTGACTTCCATGAATTGCTCATTGATGAGCTCAATTAAAAATTATTAATATACCATTGGCTTAAAATCTAGTAATTCTTTTAATCATTTTATTATAATATTTATTTCAGTAAAAAATAATTTTTCTTTATACAAAATAAGTTATTTTATGTGATAAGTTAGATTCAATTAATTAATTAAAAGCAAACATATGACCTACATAACTAATGTTTGATTTATGTTATTTATCTTCATCGTTTTTACATTGATGCATTTTGTCTTTTTTAGGAATTCTATAATTAAATGTGATTATTAAGTCTTCATGACGAATATAAGAAAGATTAAGGAGTGATTAACACAACTAAATTTGAATTTGGCCATTTTACTTTTAATATTATTTCAAAGGAAATCAAGAGGAAGCTGCATTACGAAATTTGTTTAGGGCATTTACATACATACCCCATAATTCATATGTTTTTTTTTTTTCATTTCTAAGACCTTAACATTCATATTTATGCATTTAACACTCGACTATTTAACATTACATTAAAAATATCATCATGTTAATTCTTTTAGGATGAATGGTCCTGTATTATCTGTAAATTGTACCTAAGAAGAGAGGAGTAAAAAAAAAGATTAATAGTATCTGGGAAGAGAGCACACGATCCTTATTTATAAATTTGAGGTCATCTTTTGTCATGGAGCAAAACATACTTTAATAATTGCGCAAAATTTTATGTGACTTCTCATAACTTTATGTCACATCCTGCAGTTTTATGACTTGTCATGCACCTTTAGGTCATGTCCTACAGCTTTAGGTCATGTCATTCTGCGTAAATGTACTCGTCGGCTTGACAGTTTCACAAATCTTCTTAAGAAGTTTGATAGTTTAGCAGTTTGAGAAAATTTTCAAAGATTTCGACTGTTTAGCGGTTCGACAAGCATTTTGGAGAGTTCGACAGATAATTTTGGGCAGTTCAACAGTTCGACGGGCCTTTTTTGGGGTACACGCATCATCATCATCTTTCTAAAAGTGTAATACACAATTTCAAGCATAATTTAATAACTCCAATGTTATATGAGTAAAAAATTAAACTTTGGGTGTATAGATATGTAAATACCTAAAGATTTGTGTGGCATGCATGTAATTTCCCTATTTTAAGGGAATTTTTGTAAGCACTTAATTTATTCATTAACTTGTTTGATTAATTTTTTTTGTTCCTACCCAGAGCTAAATTTTAAAATATATCAAATATTAATTATTTATATTAATTTACCATCTTATGCAAGCCACGAGTTTTTGTTATTTGTCCACCGATTTCAACCCACCTTCTGTACCCACTCTATACATATGATGATGATAAAATGTAATATTCTAATAATAGAAACTACGTGATAAAAACATTACAAATTTCATCACATATTTCATTATATTATGTTTATTTTGTCATTAAACTGCTGCTAGTATAAAATAATTATATTAAATGGAGAAAAGGACAGAAAATGAGTTGATTGATAGGTAAATATTTGGTTTAAAAAATAAAAACGTTTACATAATTAAAAATTAATAAAAAAGGTATAAATAATAATTTTTTCCATTGTTTTATTTAAAGACGTGTGTATAATATATAAATAAATAATTAATGCTGCACTTATATGTAAATAAATTCATTAAATTTGAGTGAGCAAATTGCAGACACGATATACTAATGACCAGTAATTAATATGAGGTTTTTTTTTTGAATGAAAATCTTACAGATGAAGGTGGGGGGTTATGACTATGAATGTATAAGATTTTATTAATATGAATATATACATTTCATTAAAAAAATAATAATAAATGAAAACCATTTCTTTTTTTTTTTAAATAAATCTAATTTTATTTTTATATTTGAATTGGGTAGGTATTGCAATTAACTAAGGAGTGAGGCATTGGGTGTCAATTCGAGTCAGCTGATTGGGTATGATTATGACACTAAATTGATCTAACCTGAATAATATATATGTCAAAAATTTCGAATCGAACCCAACCAACACACAATCGTGCCACCCAAATTCGTCCTTTACAACCCATTTAATAAAAAGGAATAACAATCATTTAGGTTAAAATTGGATCAATTTGAGGACATCTCTGAGCTGGCTAGTTGATTTCTAGTCAATTGAGAGAGGAGGTATTGGTGACAAGTTACCTGTCCATTTGAAGAAGGATAATATATATATATATATATATATATATATTGTATATATATATATATATATATATATTCTTGGAATATTTGCATGTATACAACTAAATTCCTATTTAATTGCATATCTATTACAACTTAGACAGCAATTTCTCATGTTTATTTATACAATATTTTAGCCTTTAAACAAACTGAAAAAAATAACTTTAGTTAACATATTTATATTATTGATGTGTGCCAACAAATTTACGGCGGTAGAGTGATAATTTAATGTCTTATATATTGCATGAAGCTATAACATTTATAGAGATAAATGAAAAATCACATGAAGAGACACCAAAATGTTTTATGTGGAAAAGTTGTGAAAGTGGAAAAATCCCGACAATCTACTATGTGTTTGTAAATATAGTGGTGGTGCGTCATTCACTCACTATAGAGAAAAATGAGATTAAAATATTACACTAAACATTACACTTGTTTTTATACAGCACAAATAAAATATTAGTGTTTGACACAACAACTAGATTTTGACTAAAATCGTTACAAGCAGTAGTCAATGGCGATTTGTGGTCAGTTACGGCAGGTTGTGACAGACATTGGTGGGCGACACATGATAGTCGATAGTGGTTGGTGGCTACTCGCTAGGTCTTCTCTTTAAAACAGACTCTGTAATTCTACATTATTTTTTATCTTCTTTTTCACCCATTTCAAGTGAAGAGACAAAGTCTATTTACAGTCATTTGAGGATGACATTTTAATCTTTTGACACAAAACTTTCCTAATCATCCTATTGGAAGATTCATGCCGACATCCCTTAACCATAGATAATTTTTCAAGGATTTGAGTACCTTCGATTTGACTACAAATAAGTCAAATATGAAGTTCATTTTACAATTCAATTGATGATCCAAAATCACCATTGTTGTTCAATGACTTAAATAGATATAAGTTGAACAAATTTTAAAATCATTGTGCTTGTTTTGACTCGACAATCAATTTTACTATAAACTTGCTAAATTTATCGTCAGGTATGATGATTTTAAAGTTGAAAGATTAAAAGAAATAAAAGAAATGAAACGAGATATTTTTATTATTTTACTAAATTGGTGTATGAAGATGACACATCAATTATATAATTAAATATAATATTCAAGGACAAAAATTCGCGTAAATGTCATTTTTGTAAAGGTTTAATTTGCAAAAATTAAATACAAAGTTTGTTTAGCACTTGTAACAGACGTCCCGCAAGTGCCTGTCAGCTAATGAGACCAGTGAGCGGATCACGTGAGCCTGCGCATGACTCGTTAAATTCAATGTACTTCAACGATGCATTGCAAATTCGAAATTGTTTCTTTGCGATAATTTTAAAAGTTCGCATTAATGTAAAAAAAATTGAAATAATTAAATAAATAAAAAATAGTCCGCGCGGCCGTTCCAGCCAATAGCCATTAAGGCGCCATGGGAGGCTTTAAAAAGGCTGCCAGACCGTCCTCTTCTTCCTCACCATTTCCCATTTCGCATTTCCCATTTCCTATTTCTTTCGCTCGCAGATTCTCTTATTGTGTTCTGACGAGTGTTTCTCATCTTCTGCTTCAGATTCCATTTTCGATTCTTCAACATTGAGCTCTTTCTTCGATCAGGCTGTAGAGTTAGCTAGGGTTTCTCTACTTCCACCGAGGAATCTGTTCATCATCATCATCATCTTCTTCTTCTTCAGATATCGAGGTATGAAGTACCAATACTCTGATCTTCTTCTTCCGTTTCTTTTTGAATAATTTGATGTTATTGAAGATCGTTATCTCAATTGAGCAGAGGTAAGGAAAGGGAAAGAAGATCGATACATAAGTTGGAGAATCGTATCGGCGATTACTGAATCTTTCATCGACTCTCAATACTTTAATCTTCTTTAATTAATGAAATCGAAACCTAAAATAATTTAAGATGCTTTCACATTTTTCAGCAATGAGAGTTAATGCTCCAAAAATATAAAATCATAGTTAGATACTCTTTCTCTTATATTTTTAATATTTTTTAAGCTTCGGAGTTCTGACAGGAAGAGAAAGGAAGACAAATCTGCTTCCTCGGCTTTTTAAGATGGAGACAATTATTTTGTTTTCTGGATTTATTTGAACTCGTTGCTTGATCTGTGAGGAGATCTGAGATTGAGTTGCTTTAAATTATTCAGAGTCACATATGATAGAAACTTGTGAAGAATCCCCTGTTTTCCATTTAATACCTTTTAGATCTGAATATCTAGAACATCTTCTCATCAGATCTCTATATCTTTGAGGAAGTCGACTAAGAATTTGATCGATTTGGTGGAGTAGGTACCAATGGGATCCAACAATTTTAATTTATGATTTTATTTTTCATTTTTAAGAAACTATTAGTGTGAAAATACTCCTTACTATTTATTTATATGTATCTTTTTACTCTCAAATTTTATAGAAGTGACAAAATATATATTTATTTTAAAATTGGGCTCTATTAATCTTTAATGATAATTATTTCAGCCCGAATCAAAGAGTGATTTTTTTGGACTTTTTTATAGCCGCATCTCGTATAAATAGATGAGGACTATGACTAAAAACGGCGTACATTTTCTGTCCGGACACTTGACGTACCTCTACGTGCGGTTCAAATTGTTCATGAATTATTTTCAGGTTATTTCTGGATTATTTTCAATAATTCCGAAATAACTCAAAAATAAAGACTGCGGATATTTCTGGGTTATTTAGGGATTATTGAAAATAACCAAGAAATAACTTGAAAATAACTCAGAAATAATCTGCGCTGTACGTTGAGCTACGTCAAGAGCCCGCACAGAAAACTTTTTGCTGTTTGGGGCAGCGTCAACTTATATAATTTGATGTTCAAAAATTTATGAGTGACAATTATAATTTTTTTTTTTTTAACTCAGACTCAACTCAGCTAGACGGTTGATTTTAGCAACTGTTTTTTTTTTTTTAATTATTAATTTATCCAAACAAATAAATTTTTTTTTTAACTCAGACTCAACTCAGCTAGACGGTTGATTTTAGCAACTGTTTTTTTTAATTATTAATTTATCCAAATAAATAAAATTACGCTGCAGATCTTATTTGGGATTATTATTATTATTATTTATATTCAATTTTATTTTCAAAACAATATTTTTTATTTTAAAAATAGTAATCATATTAATTTTAAATAAAAAAAAAACAATATGAATAAAATAAGATAAAAATAAAAAAATTTAAAATAATCTTAAAGGGCAACTAAATTAAAAAGTAATGACGTGAACGTATTTTCGAATTTGAATATAAATTTTCCACCAACTTGTTCCCGGACACTTCACCACGTATCTATTCTTTTAATTTCTAATTATGCTTTTCAAACCTGTATTATATGCACGAACGGATTAAAATATTTTGGGAAATGAGAACTTATGTCGCATGTCGTTTAGTTTAACTTTATATTTTTATATAATAATTACTTCACGCGTTTTCCAACAATATTCATAGTTTCTTAGAAATAGAAAATTTTTATTTTTGAAGCTGGGAAGGTTAATTGTCGGGCTCCATGTCGTCATATATATTTGTTCCGGGCGTCATGAGGTGATTAGCCGTGCGAACATTCGTGATGATATTATCCCAAAATCAAGAAAAATATAGAAGATGTGTATTTCTTTAAAAATTTTATTTTATTAATTGTATTGATATAATCAAAATATGATACAAATATTTAGTTTCAATTCTTCACCTAATAATTGCTCTAATAGTACGCCAATACTAATATTTTATGCCCCCTCAAATGACGATTTCTCTTCATTTTCCGACCATTTTTGAACGTCAACAGAAAAACTTGAGGAGAATGGCAGCCGAAGGACAGGCGAATAACATGGAAAACAACTTGGCTAACGGCGGCGGCATCACCACCGGGGCTCCGCCGCCTCGGCCGGGAGTACTGCCTAAAATCCAAACAAAGATAACAGCAATGGCGGCAAGCAAGCCGTTCAAGGCAGAGAACAACATCTGCCATGATGATAGCTCGCGGCCTGTGAAAGCGCAGACCATTGATGAGCTGCACTCGCTGCAGAAGAAGAGGTCTGCGCCGAGTACGCCCAGCAAACAGGAAGGCGCCGTTCAGTCCCCCACCGCCTTCTCCACTATATCCGAGGAGGAGCGTCAGAGGCTCCAGCTCCAGTCGATCAGGTGAATCTCTTTTATCTTCTTTATTTATGGTTTTGGATTTAATACTCATGAAGTTCATTCAATTCAAGTCCTTTATGAATAAATGAATATAGTAGGTTGGATATGATCATATAATTGTAATATGAATATGCAATTTATCTGTTTTAAGAATTATGTGATCATTTGAAGTTCTACAGGTGGTTCAAAATTTAATTTTTATCATAATTATGTTGAAAGAACACAACACGCTAAGAATTTGAGGAATAGACTATATAGGTGCTGATATGTTAGGGGCTGCTTGGTAAAGGTTTTTTTTATAGGATTTATCCCTGGGTTTAATAAATCAAGCCGGATGTAAAATTCAGAATTTCATGTGGGGCCATTTATAATTATAACTATACTTTACATGCTAGCATAATTTTGTTAATATTATAATATTTGTATGAAATTAATATTGTGTAGAGATCATGTATTTCTGATAATATTTCCTAACCTCTAATTTATTTCCTGGCACGCAAATTTTTTGCATCAACACATAGTCTAAGGGGTTGTTTGGAAAAAGGAAAGTGGAGGAAGTAACTAACAGTATTTTAGGAGTTGATTATGATTCCACAACCACTGATTTAAGCCTTCCAACCTTTTTTTTAAAATTTCCTTTCATTGAAAATTCAAACATTCGAACACATGCAAATATGAGATTAATATATTTCAATTTAGTTGTCTGATATTAAAGAGAGAATTATATGCGACGCATCATCTAACTTATGCAGTGTAGCACAAAACTAACAACTTACCCAATGTGAATCGTGAAATTATGCAATGTCAAATAGGCCCTACATATTTTTGAGTAGAATTGATTTTTTTTTTTAAGTAGTATTTCTATATAAGGGCCTCATCTAAATAGTCAAAAGACTTGTGTTTTAACACTTTACATTATATATATATATATATGATTTTGTCATAGGAACATACCGAATATTCGAATCTTATATATATATATATATATATTATTGTGAGCATTATAAAAGAAGTTTGTCGTTTCTTTCACGTTACAAGGTACTTTTTGAGAAAATATGCGGCAGGCTTGTGCTCAAGTTCTGTCCTTTTTTTTTGTTAATTTAAATGACGTAAATGCTCATCACTTTATTTTAATTGGAGTATCAGCCGGCTAGGCCGGTTGGCCACCTTTCTTACGTGGTGCGTACGAATAGAAGCAGTTCACATCTGTAGGTAGGGCTGTCAAAACAGCTCTTTGTTCGTGAATAGCTCGTGTTCGGTTTGTTAAGAAATTCGTGTTCGGCTAGTTAATTTCGTTCGATAAGTTAACGAGCCGAACACGAACAAAGATGTGTTCGTTCGTGTTCGGCTCGTTTTGGCTCGAAATACTACTCATCAAGTTTATATATATATGTATATATATATATATATATAAAGTAGTATTTTAAAAAAAAATCTAATTGACTACAAGGCTACAGATTTATAATCAATTAAAATATTGATTAAGAAAATAGAATAAAAATTATTAAATTCGATTCAAATGATGTTTTAATATAAATAATAATTTTTAAATCTTGCTCAAACCCTTACTGTCTCATGACTACAGGATTATGGTTGTTAAAATTCTTCGTTCGTGAACAGTTCGTGTTCTGCTCGTTAAGCAAACAAGCTGAACACGAACACACTTTTTGAGCTCGAAATATAAACGAGCCGAACACGAGCTGAGCATGGCTTTACACCCCTACCTGTAGGTAGATGTTTGAATAGAATTTTATCTTAGCTTGCAGATCTGGCTAATGTAATCTGTGAAGGCAAATAGCAACTTTTTCACCATTTATGTTCACATAAATAATTTTATATATCAATAATAATAATAATAATAATAATAATAATAATAATAATCGGTAAATCTAAAAATAATTAACCTTGTCCGTTAACACATTTAAATGATTTTTTGCCTTAAAACTGATTGCACGTGACTTGCACGCGCTAGTAAAGAGGTGCTGGTTCACTTTGTTTATTCACGGGGCAATTAGTTATAAGCCTGAGCTGAACACCGTGAGAAAAGATTGTGATCACGAGGAACACGTTAAATATAGATAGTTGTAAATTAAGCGTCTTTGGATGCCCTGTAACCTTCATGCTTGTTAGTCCAAAAAAGGCATTTTTTTTATTGCCTCCATTGTAATCAATTTGGTCTCAGCTTCACAATTATTACTTTGGGGTATGACCTTATAAATTTTGGTATTTAATCATCCATACAGTGCTTCATTGGCATCACTGACGAGGGAGACTGGTCCCAAGGTGGTGAAGGGAGACCCTAAGAGGAAGTCGGAAACCACCCCCAAAGTGCATCAACAGCACCACTACTTCACTCCGAACATCAATACTAGTGACAGTGCCTTGAAGTTCACTCATGTCCTCTACAACCTTTCACCTGCTGGTAATTATTTTCTTTATGCTCAGCTATTCCCATAATCTTAACAGACTATGATGGGTGATATACTACATATCATTAAATGTTTGGTGGCTTATTAGCAGTTCATCAAATTTCACTAATTTGGTTGCAGTACATGCAAATAAATGATTTTCTGCTAGAGTGTTTGGTATATAAATACATTGATTTGTATGATATGGATGTAAATATTCTTTTTTTTTTAAAGAGAGATCTTTATAATCAATTGATTATGCACTGAATGCCTTTTGTTTCTGGCATAGAACTCTATGAACAAGCTATAAAGTATGAGCACGGATCATTCATAACATCAAGTGGGGCTTTGGCAACATTATCCGGTGCAAAGACAGGTCGCTCTCCTAGAGATAAGAGGGTTGTTATTGACGAGACCACGACAGATGAACTCTGGTGGGGAAAGTAAGTCCCCCAGATCCTTGGAAGCTCATACCCCCTCACTTTTTAATATTGTACTCATTAGGTTTTTGGGGTTTCAATGGAAAGAGCTTCTAAAAACTAAAGATTGCAAATTTTTTGCGTGATAATGAAATCATAATATTTTATAGATTTTGAAGGTGTTTTTAGAGTTTAAAACTAGTACTTTTTGGAATAAAATATAACACGTTATTTCTGACTTTAAGAAATCAAATAACGCATAAGCAATGCAAAGCATCATATGAATTTATTCATGTTTTCATAGTTTTTTTTTTTTTTTCTGTTTGTTTTAGGGGTTCCCCCAACATTGAGATGGATGAGCACACTTTTATGGTGAACAGAGAAAGAGCTGTTGATTATCTAAATTCCTTGGATAAGGTTTTATACCATATTTCACACTCATTTAATGTTTTGAAGTTTGAACATTTATTTATTTTATGAAATTGCTCATCATCCTCCATTTGGTATAGGTATTTGTGAATGATCAGTTCCTTAACTGGGACATCGAAAATCGCATAAAAGTTAGGATCGTCTCTGCAAGGGCATATCACTCCCTCTTCATGCACAACATGTGAGTAAAATTTCTCTCTATATTACTTTTTCATTTCCTTTGCCTCCCACATTTCTGTTGTCTCCCACTTCTCATTCAGACATATTTGAGGACACCATACTACTGTTTCAAGAAATTTAGTGCTCAAATATTCACTAAAAGCTGAATACATGCTCTGCTTCCTAGGACATGAGTTATTTGAAGTTGTAAACCACATCACATAGCCATAAAAACAAAGGAAGATTTATCTACATACCACTCAATTCCCATGTATTTACATATATAGCACCTAAACTTCAATTTTTACATATATCCCACATTACCTATGCATGGTGTATTTCACTTCTTATAAGATAAAATAGTGGTATTTTTTATATGATATGAAAGATATGAGTAGTATAAATCTATAAATTTTAGGTGTTACATACCTAAATAACTAAAAATTAGGTGGTATGTGTGTAAATACATACCACTCAATTCCTATGGATTTACATAGCTAGCACCTTTACATGTATGCCACCTTACCTCTGCACGAAACGGTGCATTTCACTTTTTTAAAAGTTAAAATGGTGATCCTTTTATGTGTTATGAAAGATTCAGGGCGGTGTAAATGTAAAGAAGTAAAGTTTAGGTGATACATCTGTAAATACCTAGGAATGAGGTGATATGTATGTAAAACTGTTATCGTGGTTAAGGCAGATGCTCCTATTGTAGTAGCGAGAATATAATAAAAATATTGTATAGGTGCATTCGTCCAAATCCTGAAGAACTGGAGAACTTTGGTACTCCGGACTTCACTATTTATAATGCGGGACAATTTCCCTGCAATCGGTACACCCATTACATGACATCATCCACAAGCATAGACATAAACTTGGATAGGAAGGAAATGGTTATTCTGGGCACGCAATACGCCGGAGAGATGAAGAAAGGGCTCTTCAGCGTAATGCACTATCTCATGCCCAAGCGAGGCATACTCTCGCTGCACTCTGGATGCAATATGGGCAAGGACGGTGATGTCGCCCTCTTCTTTGGCCTCTCTGGTAAGCGAGGCTTTCCCTCTTCGCGCTTGTCCTGACGCCGTTCTTTGAGTTTGCTTTCTTCTCTTCTTCTTTTGCAGGCACTGGAAAGACGACTCTGTCTACTGACCACAACAGGTTGCTCATCGGTGATGACGAGCATTGCTGGAGCGATAATGGGGTTTCCAACATTGAAGGGGGTTGCTATGCGAAGTGCGTTGACCTTTCGCGTGAGAAGGAACCCGATATCTACAATGCGATTAAGTTTGGGACAGGTAGAGATATATAATGCTTTCTTATATCCTTTTCATTCCTGTAGGACGATTGGTTTTTTATGTTTCACTCATCGATTGATATAATGACAGTGTTGGAGAATGTCGTGTTTGATGAGCACACTCGCGAAGTGGACTACAGTGATAAATCAGTAACAGGTGAGCTTTTGCAGCTTATAAAAGATGTTGAAATGGTTATTATAACATAATGCAAATACATTCATTAAGTACTATTTATTTATAGATTTACAAGTATGCATGTGTATGCATATTAACATAATTGTGTGTATTCCTTAATTTAATGCCCAAATCATGGTTATTGTATTTACTTGTTCTCATTACATTAGATTTTTTTCTCACTTGTGAGCTTAAGAGGCTTGGCCGTACATCAACTTCTATGATGAATTTTTCGCTTTATCATTTATAAGGATGTGTGGGTTTTGACTACTTTTGACTCCTGTATAGAGAACACTCGAGCTTCCTACCCTATCGAGTACATTCCAAATGCGAAAATCCCTTGCGTGGGCCCACATCCTAAGAACGTCATACTCTTGGCCTGCGATGCTTTTGGAGTGCTTCCTCCCGTAAGCAAGCTAACCATGCCGCAGACAATGTACCACTTTATCACTGGCTACACCGCTCTGGTGGCCGGGACGGAGGATGGCATCAAGGAGCCGCAAGCCACCTTCTCTGCTTGCTTCGGTGCAGCATTCATCATGCTCCATCCCACCAAATATGCCGCCATGTTGGCTGACAAAATGAACAAGTATGGCGCCACAGGTTGGCTTGTTAACACTGGCTGGTGCGGCGGAAGGTAATTTGGTTCCCACTTTATCTAAAGTTCTTATGTATTTACATATCTCATGTCTATAATTCCGTAGCTACATATATAGGACTTTGGTGCTTTAAATTTATGCATGAAAAAGTGTATTTCACTTTTAAAAAATGATAATGGAGCTATTTTTGGTAAGATATTAAAGATTTTAGTGGTATATGTTTAAATATGAAAGTTTAAGCGGGAGATATGTGCATACATAAGACTTGTGTGCTATGTATGTAGATTCCTCATAAAGGGGGAAATTTACATATGAAGCCACGATTGTTTTGTATTTACACATCTAGCTTCTAAACTTCTATATTGACATATATAGCACTTTGGTGCTTTAGAACTATACATGAAACTGTATATTTTGGTTTTTAAAAATGGTAATAGTGTTATTTTTGTGTGTTTTTAAAGATTTGCTTGCTATGCCAAAAACTAATTTGGTTTGATTTTCCTTCAGGTATGGAGTTGGAAGTCGCATAAAGTTGCCTTACACTCGCAGTATCATTAATGCCATCCATTCTGGTCGACTTCTGAATGCTGAGTACACCAAAACTGAGGTCTTTGGGCTGGAGATTCCTACTAAAGTTGAAGGAGTGCCTTCGGAGATCCTCAATCCTATGAATGCTGTAAGCCATTTTGTGATTTTAAAGAATATAGATTTATATCATGTTTTCATTATTAAGCAAGCCTAAGACAAGTAGTACTGGTATAGGAGAGGCTTGATGTCAATTATAGATAACAGAAGAACACAAAACTAAATATAGATATATTAAATTTAGGTAGATCTGGAGAAATTCCTAATTGTTGAGATTTATGCCTATCACCTTTAGGTTAGACTCACTTGAGCATAGGACCTTTGTTATGTGGGGCTGCGAATAGTTCTAGTTTAGTTTGAGTGAAGATCGACCTTAGTGTAAGTTTAATTCAAGCTGGGCTTGGTTTTAAGTCGGCATTTGATTTGATAAAATAAATCTATCTCAAATAATCTTTTTGATCATTGAATCAGATTTAATTAAAAATTCACAACCATACTTGATGTGTTTTTTTAAGGAAGATTTACGTACACACCACTCAATTCCTATGAACTTACATACCTTATGCCTAAACTTAAATTTTTACCTACACACCATCTTACCTATGCATGAAAATGTGTATTTCACTTAAAATGATGGTATTTTTTATGTGATACAAAAGATTTGGATGGCATAAATGTAAAAATCCTTGTGGTATGTATGTAAATACTCCTTTTTTTTAAAAGAGTATAAATATAGATTTACAGATTTGATCAACTCCTCTGTTTTGCTGGAATGTACATGCAGTGGGAGGACAAGAAACACTACAAGGAAACTCTGTTAAAACTGGCCGGTTTATTCAACAAGAATTTTGAGGTGTTCTCCAAATACAAAATCGGTTCAGATAACAAACTGACAGAGGAAATTCTTGCTGCTGGCCCCATTATCTGAGGTACGTCGCCCTCATTTGTTGACCAAGAAGCATAGAAATACCGAAGCTTGTGTGCGAAATAAATGAAGTTGAGGAGTCCATTATGCCTAAGATAGATATGTGATTTGGTCTAACCATCTCATGTATTATTATGTTATAGCCATAGCAATGTTTTTCCATAATTTAAGTGTGTGCTCTATCTAATGTCTTAGCTCATTTGATTTGATTAACTTGGAGCTTACTCCTGGGAATTTTGGCAGTTCAAAATTAGTAGATGCAATGTAATGCCTTTGTATTGATCTGAGTAATCTAGTGTGTTTAATGGATTATCATGTTATTTTGATTTATTGATTTGATGATAATAAATTGTGTTAAATAATTAAAAAGTTAACTAAGAAACAACCATCGAGACAACGATTACATGCACTGAGTTGTCTTGTGCATTTTCAAAATGTAATTCAGTATGTGTATGCTTGCTAGCATTGGCCTCAACATCATGTACAAGTTTTGTATCTTAGGAGTGCCAAATTGACCTTAAACAAGCTATTTATAAATTGTGTAGAAGAAATATGATTATAAGGATATGAAATTGAAGAGGAAAAATGTAAAACATTAAAAGTTTAGGTATTAGATATGTAAATACATAGGAGTTATGTGGTATGTATGTAAACACAAGCAAATTGCATTAATTTTCATCAAATTTAAGTAACATTATGTAAATATGAAAGTTTATATATTAGATATTATAAATGCATAAGAATGGTATGGCAGATAAACTAATCAATTTCTTTATGCAGAGCTATAAAATTTGCCACACATAAATTTATTCTAACATCTACAAAAGCTTTGATCTAGCGAAACCTGTTAGTAGTCAAATTTGCTGAGATTGTGTTCCCAGTCAGAAGAATTCCTGCAGAGGACTTCCGCTAGGGTATGGAGGCGGCGGTCCTTAAGCGCCCGGCGGAGCGTGATGGAGAAGCCGATCGCGCGCTCAGAGGCAGACTGAACGCGTGGAGAAGAAGAAAGTGTTGACCGTATTCAGTCGCTAAGAGCGATCGCTAGGATTGCTGTACCAGATTAGGCTTTAACAAATAGCTATTTAGTCTGTGATATTTACATATGTTTTATATCTAATATTTAAAATATAATAGGGGCATTTACATACATACCACCAATAATTCTTTATAAACTTTAATTTTTACATTTCTACCCTTCAGAATTTTCATATCACATTCTTAACTTAAGAGACCACTAATTAATTTTTAAAAATTGAAATACACATATTTCTGCATAGAGAAGATGGTAAAAATTGAACTTTAGGTGTTCAATATGTAAATACATAAGAATTGAGTGGTATGTATGTAAATCCTATAGGGACAAATACATAAAGACCACCCAAAAGTTGTTATTTACAAATTAACCATCATTTTTTATCCATTTTTCAAATTCTCACTCAAATATCAAAATTCATGGCATAGCTCAATTAATAAATTTCATTTTTTATCAAATTCTCAACAGTTTGATTGCGGCACACAAAAATACATAAATACAATGGTTCTATAGTTTTTTTAAAAAAATGTCTGTGTTAATTTATAAATATCAATGTTTTTGTTGGTCAGCATGTAATTATGTTTTTATATAATATTTTCTTGTTTCAGTCACATTAAACTATATATTTTTTCTATAATTTTTAATATTAGTGATATTTTACATATGCTTAAAATTTAAATGCTCTATGGGTAAATATTAAAATTTAAGCATTAGAGATATCAACAAATAAGAATTGTGAGATGTCGAAAGTAATGAAACGGTGAATAAAAAGTTTTGTATAAATAATTCAGAGTTATTCATATGTAATTTAATTAATTGAAGCACTTTTAGTGGGGACGAAGTTGAGTTAAATTCAACTCAATAAATGTTTTATGAGTTAACTCAGATGAGCTAACAAATATAATTTTACTTTAACTTGACCCAACTTGATCAATTATGAGCTTGTGAGTTGATTAGTCATATATATATATATAAATAATAAACTGCCAATTACAAAAGTAACCCTCGCCGTTTCCCCTTTCACTCCTACCCAATTTCTTCTAACCATTTTTTCAAAAAACTAGAAGTCCATGACACCTACCAGCCTTTGCAAAAATCAATTTTTTTTCACAACACCTCTATAATTATATATAATAGTAGTCCCCACAAATGATTATTTATAGTAATCAATATGGTCCTCCATCTGAATGTAAATATGAAATGTTCATGGTGAGATAAATTAGTAACATTGAGGAAAGTATGAAGATGATTGACATGATTGCTCCCTAGAAGGTGAGTGTAGCGTACCAAAAGTCCCCCTTCTATATGAAAAACTTATTAATTAGCATTGTAAAGTTACTAGTTAGGTAAAATTATCTTGACTTTGGGTATATTTCAAATAACTGTAGCTGTTTGAAGAAGCGGGTGTTTTAAGAAATAACTGTGAAGCTATTGCAGAAGAAATCGTAGTTAAAAAAGCTTTAGTAACTATTACAAATTTATTTTATTTTTAAAATTTTTAACCGCAACGTTATGACAACCACCACATTTAGGTAATTTAGGTTTTAAAATGTGGCATCTCATCATACATTTTTGAGGAATGAGGTAAAAAAGTTTTTCCAAACTCATGATAGTGTGGGGCAATATCGCCTTGCCAAATGTAGCTTTAGCAATAATGCCTCAAAATTAAAATTGTGACTTTAAAGTGATACTTTAGCCCTTAATTATCAAGATTATTAAAAAAAATTCTTGTTCATATTAACACTTTAATTTTGATGAATTAATTGATAAATCAAAATTTTGACATTTTGTTGAGATATTAGGGCGAAGAAAAACAGGAATCGACACAAATCCAGAAGATCACAAAGAGATTTAACGAGGTTCGACAAAGATGCCTACATCATCGGGAGTAGAGCGGCAGTTTTTCCACTAATCCAAAGAAAGAGCACAAGATACAGAATATGGGGTAACACCTAGGGTTATATACAAGCCTATTTATAACCCTAGACAGAACAGTAAAGAAAACCTTGGGTACAATATGTAATTACCAAATTACTCATGTACCACACCCCCAACCCACATAAGGAAACTCCCATGATTTTGACAGAAGCTTCCGTTCTGCTCCGCTCCAACATCTGTCCCTTTATGGTATACGAGCCATATCAAACACATTGCAATTGATTAGAACAATTCTAAGAATTATTATTTTTTGTATCAAATTAGAGATTATTATAAATTGATATTGGTAGCTAGTCATTTTTACCTTGAATGATTCACCTTCACATGAGTAATAATTTGCTATTAATGGCCAATAAAATAGAGGCCCCTATAGAAAATAGAAACTCCTAATAATCTTTTTGTTATATGAAAAATATTTTGTTCAGTTCTTATAAGTCGATATAAATGTAGGAAGATTTACATGCACATCATTACTCAATACTTATGTATTTATGTATGCAACACCTAAATTTTAATTGTACATATATCTAATTTACTTATTTAAAATTATAACAGTAGTATGTTATATGATATGAAAGATCTACGTAGACTGTGGGTTGATGTGAAAAATCAAAAGTTTAGGTGTTACATATGTAAATGCATAAGACTTTGGTGATATATATGCATGTAAACGCCCCTAAAATTTAAATACAATAGAAGTTGGTGGGGAGATAAATTAAGTATTTCTTATTAATAATTTAATAATGGAAATATAATGTACTAATAATATTAGAATAATGAGCAAAGAATCTCTAGAATTATTGGATGAATAACATGAGCTTTGCAAACGGACAAATCAAATGCTTCTTAATTTATGAAAAAGACAGCACAATTCTTTCTCACAAAATTGTCTTTTTTTATTTGGAAGATTAAAATTCATCACTCAATTATTATATATATTTACATATCATACCCTCAAATTTTAATATATATACATAAAAAATATATATTTCATTTTGGTTAAGTTAAAACGTGATATTTTTGAATGTTAATCAACAGTCGTGCAATATGACGATGTTTCATTTTTGTTTTTGCTTTAACGAGGTTCCTACTGACTATTCTTGGTATTTTATATGGATGAGTTTACTGCTCAGTTGCTCTTTGCCTCCGTCAGCTAAGCTAGTTAGGATTTGGCTTGGCAATGCTGATTTGGTTAGTTAGGCTTAGTCAAAGTTAGAGTAGCACTTAATTGACATTAGTTATGTATATAGAGATCAAGAGGAGCAGGTTGATGTATAATTATCATTATTTTATTTAGGGTTTAGCTAAAATGCAGGGTTAAATTAAATTAATATGTTGGTTGGCTTCGATGTCGCTGTCACATTTTGGACCGAATGACTCCGATTTAGAACATTCAGTTGTCTTTTGTGACTTGATCAGTTGCATTCAGTTAGATAAATAGGGCTTCATGGTTTTTGGTCAGTGGGTATTCCTTCGCCATGTTTTTCTCCTTGAGACCACTAGATCTACTCAAGATCAGTATTGAAATATTTTTTTTATGTAAAAATATAAAAAAATTCGGAATGTATCAATGTAAAATATAAATTTTTGATCATTGATATGTAAATACGTAAAATTTTTTTGTGTGAACTCCTGACGTAGCGCTACGTGCGACGCAGGTTATTCCTAAGTTATTTTTAGCTCATTTCTGTGTTATTTTCAATAATCTTGAAATAACCCAAAAACTCGAAATAACCCGCGGTCTTTATTTTTGGGTTATTTCGGGATTATTGATAATAGCCCAATTATAATCTGAAAATAACTCAGGAATAATCTGGACCGCATGTAGAGATAAGATAGATGTCGGGATAGAAAATTCGTGACATTTTTTTTGTACTTTCTTTTTTTCTTTCCTCATTATTTTCTTATATTCTCTCTCCTCGCTCTCAACTTGAGTTTGACAAAAGTGGGTCCGAGTTTGACCCCAATGCCAAGCTTTTCTCACAGGATCCGAGGAATTAATGGCGGACTTAAATTATAAATAAAATATTTTTATGAGCCGAAGTCTCATTTTCCATGACCGACCATGCGGAGCATAATTTAATTCATTACCTGTCGTTCATGGTTAGAGAGCATTTTATATATAATTCAAATGCCAAAATTTTATATTAAAAGCTATCAAATCATATCCTTTTGACATATTTACCTCTATGCCTCATACAATTTTCTAATTTACATAAACCACTTAATCATCTTTCTTAATTTAATCTATTACTCTACTTAAAACTAATTAAATATTAATCTTCCATAAATTTTGTTTGTTATGCACAACACCTGAAAATATCACTATTTTAACTTT